CACACACACACACACACACACACACACACACACACACACACACACACACACACACACACACACACACACACATGCACACGCGTGCTCTCTGGCCCTTCTATTCATTCACTCGGGGATTCTCATCAACCCAAACTGAAAATCCGTTTGCCTCGGTACGATCGGTCTCCTTGGTGACGACTCGCTGTCCATTTTATCGGAGCCTTTAGGGCTGATTTTTTGTCACACTGCAACAGTTTAACAGAAGAATTTCAAACGACTCAAATGATTACTTTTCGTTACATAAAACAAAGTGTTCAAGCAGCCACAGAAGAACACAATCAGCTCTGGCGTGCAGCTCTGTGCAGGGGAGCTTGAGAAAGAGACCGAAAAGAACTTGAGTGTAAAGATAAAAACTCCTAAAAAGTAAATRTTATGAAAAGATGCAATTTTATTCTCGCTGGGATGATGAAACAAACGTGAAACACAGCCTGATGAGTGAGAAGAAAGCTGAATTGACCAACTATCTTGCTGCAAAAACTCTGAAAGCGCAACAATACTGGTCATCACCTCAGCTTATATAGAAACATCAGAAACCTGCTTTTCGAAGATAAAAATCACAAAGAAGCAGATTCACTGCAAAATGTCCTGGTGTTAGTCATATAAAACCACGACCTCATAGTGAAGAACGCCTCCATCGCCCAGGCCTCAGGGATTGTGCAGATAGATCCATTGCAGAAAGACTTACAAAGAATTTGCCAGCATTGCATGACTTCGACGGGGGCGCACAAGTTTGGAAGTTTTGCTGGAACAGACAAAGAAACCTGGCTGCAAGTGAGACATCATCAGTTCTCTGCAGATGCTTTAACAGAGGCCTCAGCATCAGGACCAGCCCTAAATTGTGATGGCATCTCTTCTGCAAGTGACAAGCTACSCAACATGTCCTGAAAGTCCAACTCAAAGTCTGCAGGATCCTCAGCTGGAGCCCTCTGCATAGTGGTCATCTATTCATTATGATGTTTGAACCATGACTTGCATTAACTGAGAGGAACAGATTGTCTAAATGAGGTGTTTGTGCCAGGGAATATAAGACAGGAACAAAAAAAATAACCCACCTAAAATCCAAAACAGAAACAAACAACGCAGACAGGAGAAGGTAACATTGATTAACGGCCAAAATCCAAATAAAAACAAACGCCTTGCTGCTAAAATGAAYGTTAGATGAAGAGAGATGTGTTTGAATGTTGTGTCTGGACTCCTGATAACTCCTGCAGCATCTTTATTGCAGCAAAACTGAAAAGCCTTGAAAAGAATCAAAGTGTTGTGTGCCGTCTTTCTCTGCCCACACCATCTGAAAGTCAGTCAGGGAGTGTTGTCAGCCAATACACTGGTTTCAGTGCTACGTTATCACCCATCATAACATTAATTTTTCCTCCATGCTCTACAGTTTGCTCCTGTTTGTACYATTGATCTGAGCTGATTCAAGATGGCAGTCACAGCTAATCAACCTTAGCATTAATAGTCTTTAACCCAGAATTTTATTGCTTTCTAATAAGAAGTTAAACTAGAAGTTTCAGCAAAAATCAGAAGTGAGCAAACATGAATTTAAAGTGTATTTTCATTCAAACATTGCCTAAAAAGCTGAAGTGCAACACAGGGGTCTTAGACCGTCTGTGGCAGGGGGTGGATGTAATGATGGGTGCTGCTCGGCTGCAGCTGACAGCACAGCTGTTTGGGCTAAGCTCCGCTCGTGGTTACAGATCAACGAACACGTCTAAGCTGCTATTTGGAACAGTTCACTGAGTAACATCTCAGGACTAAGAGGCCTGAGAGAAAGCAGAAACTTTGTGTTGTGGCTGAGGAATCCTGTTGAAATGTGCACCGGAGCAGAAACTCAGTTAACAGATGTAAAAATATAAAGATTTGTTTTTCTCATTTTTGTTTGGTTGTTTGTCTTTCTGCCTGAGGTCACTGGACACACCCACTTTGATCCATCAGCTGATCAGAAAACAGATTCAAGGTTTTTCTTTATTTAACACCACTTTACAATAAACAACACATAATGACCTGGAAAAGGTTGTGCTTTTATCAGCTCAAGCTTGATTCAACTCCAAAACCAACACATGAGCACATCACTCCATCTTATTGTCTCTTCATTGGCTTCCAGTCCATTTTAAAATTGATTTTAAACTTTCATTATTCAGTTTTAAAGCTCTTATTGATCTCGCCCCACCAAACTTAACTGATTTTGTAGCTTTTACTGGGTATAAAATACTTCATTGTTTCTAAGCACAAACGTTTTGGGGTGACCAGGTCTTTTGCACCCAGACTGCAGAACCTGTTGGAAAGATCTCTGTAGATAAATGTTAACTGATTGGTAAAGACATAGAGACAATCGACCTCACTCTAATCCACACYTAGGGATCATTTAGAGTTACCAGTGAACCTTATAGTTTGTGGGAGGAAACCAGAGCACTTACAGAAAACCCACTTGTGCAGGGGGAGAACATGCAAACTCTTCACAGAAAGGCTGGGAGGCAAACCAATCTGTGAGTGGACAGCATCATTTCCTGAGGAGGATCTAACATGAGTGATGTATTTGTGAAACCTGTCTCTRTGATTGACTGAAACAGTAAATTRTTTTCAAAGTRTGACTCTAAAAATAGCTGAAACTAMACTAAAACTGAACTCAAAGAAATCTGAACATTTCAAAAACAAAACCAGGGCACGCTGACCACAATATCTTTCTCCTTTTATTTGCATTTTGTCTTAATMTTTTTCTGCCTAATCAGTTTCACTTATTGTGAAATACAGTAATAAATTAAAAACCATGAATGCACAGAGGAGCTGCCGTTTATTTCAGCCATGACTGCATTTCCAAAAGCTATGACACTAATTTATACACATGCTGTGCAGATCAACCCAATTTGTAGATTTCCTTGAAGGCTTGTTGCCTTGATGCAGAAACGTGGTGGTGGAACGACTGAAATTAATTTTCCTGTTAAGGTTTTTTTTTTTCCATCTGCTCAGGCTTGCTCCAAGCAGACCGATGGCTCTGATCTGTRGTCCAGTCAGCCGTGGCGTTGTGCGGTCAGGTTGTAGGATTTATTCGTGGTCGTTCGGTAGCCGTGCACCAAAATAACTCCTGGGAGTGGCCGGAGGGTTTATTAACTTTCARAGTGCACGTGACAAAAGCTTTGTTGAGAGCTGTGGAGCGAGAGGACGCTTTATAATCTTTGAAACTAATTTATTTGCATTTAAATCACCAAAATGAAGGATTTGCATTTTTCAAACAAACTAAAAAGCATAAAGGACGTCCTCCACCAGTAACCCCCAAACTGTTTAACTGTGACTTCTCACAAGAATCTGTAWTTTCATTTTCTCCTTTTTACTTATAAAGAGACTGTGTATTAATTTAATATCAATGGTTGCATGGTTTTGTGATTAAAACTACCCAGCCTGAGTTCACGCATGGACAACGTTACATAAGCAAAGCCCATAATAAAGGGTGCCACTGCAAAAGCACTGAAGCACCCTCATTATTATTCACCCGCTATTCTTCCCTCTTTTTTGTCACAATTTATGGTTTGCATCTTTTCCTGCAGCTTTGGAAAAAAATCACACAAGAACAATCATCAAAAGCCTTGATGACTTTTGATAGCAGCACATAAACAAAATCAGCAAAAAAAAGTGCAAAACAATGACCTCATAGTCGACAAAGAGAAAAACCCAGGAGCGCTCAGACTTCACAGARAAAAACATCTTTCAGTGTCTGCTGGCATGTGGATACATTTTTACACAATTACAGTTTAGGTTTAATCATTTTAACTTTGAACTGTCTGAAACTTTTCTTATTCCTGCAACTTTGTCATAAAAACCTGGACATTTTCATCTTTTATACCCACTTTGTGCCCCTCACTGCTGTGTCCCACCCAGAATTCAAAGTGCTCACATCATTTTTATTTTTCTCTTTGGAAACTTTGATCTTCCATATAGCTCTCTGTTTTTCACACTTGATAACAAATTTAGACACCTGCTTTAGAAATAGCAGATTTAACTTAACTTTTAAAAACAAATAAAACCTATGATTTCTGAGTCTGAAAGCAGTGCTGAGACTCTAGCTTGTGGATAATTAATTCACAGAACATTTTTTTTTTCATATTTGCTGCCTCTAACTCACCGTATGAGCACAGAAACCCCCACATCCTCACAGTTCTTGTAGACGTGTCCCCATGTGTCCTGGATGATCTCCCTCTCAGCATCAGACAGCGGCTCAGCTCGCTCCGGACGGTCCTCGCACTCCCCCCTCTGCCCTCCCAGCAGCTGTGGAGGCGGCGGAGGCAGCGGCGGAGACTCCCTGCGAGACATCCTCCTGCGGCGCAGCAGCCTGGAGGCTCCCAGCAGCGCCCGGGGGAGATAGGGAGACAGGGAGGGGGGGAGGGAGATGGAGAGCTGAGACCCCACGGCGGAGCTGGGAGGAGAGTCGGGAGGAGAAGAGGAGCAAAGGAAGACAAGGAGGAGGAGGAGAAAAGAGAAAGAAGATAGGAGCCAGGCAGGGTTTTACAGCCAAGAAAAAAAAAGAGGAAAAAAAGATGCTCCTGATCTGACTCCCAACTCCTCCTCACTGCTCCTAACTTCTCACTTCTTCTCCCCCCCCACCTCCTTGCGTCCCTCTGAGTGAGAGAGACGCCTGTCAGTGGTGCTGATGTTGCGCTCCCGTCACTTCTCCTCTCCCTCTGATCCTCTCCCTCTGCTGAAGGAGGCGAGAGTGTTGGGGAGGACCTGATGGAATGAGAGCAGGGTCGGGAAGGAAACACAGAGAGACAGAGGGGTGGAGAAAACTGGAGATGAAAAAGTAGAGGAGAGAGGGGAGCGCAAGGGTCTCTGACAACACACACATTAATGCATGCATACTGACAAATACACACAATCAGAAAATTCATGGACAACCATATGTGTGTACTCTGATTTCACCAAGGCAGCTTTTAACCTCCTGTTCAGATTTGTTTTAATTATGACTCTGCAGATTTTATTAAGAACACTTTTATTTTTGCAAGAAGAAACAAACWTTGAGTGCGTACAGATGATGATGTTCAGAGGTTGTTTTCTCTGAACCAGTCTTATAACAATTATAACTAAATTACTTCAGTTGTTGCCTTTTAACATCCTGTCTTAAGGGTTATCATTTAGTCTTCTTTGAACTTCTGGTTTCTGAAGAAAGACCAGTCTATCACAGGGAAGCTGTACATGGTATTTTGTGCTTAGAAACAGCATTTTAACATATCCTCCTAAACACTGAAAATTATTTCATGTGACTGACTAAATGTGAAACAAATGATACAGAAATTATACTAAATGTAAGAGTTATGGTGAGTAGCTACCATCTTGAATTCTGAACTATCCCAATTTCTGACAGGGAATTCCCACCGGAGGGGGCTTAATGACTTGTAAGTGGGAAACTCCCACTTCYAAGTACAACTCGGCTGCAGCAAAAGTAAAAGACAAAATGCAGCGAAATGAAAACAACACAAATAGGAGATGTAGTTTATGGTTAATGCTGGCTTTAAGACATTAATACATCTTTGGAGATCTTGTGGGCCACATAAAATGTTGTGSTGTGCCACATTTGGCCCACAGGCCTCAAGTTTGACATGTGGCTTTTGATTTCCAATTTCTCTCTCTGATAGGAAATGAGACCAACTTTGTTTTTTTTCCGCTTGTGACCATTTTAGCTTATTCAAAGAGTGGTAAACACTCTAAATTCATGCTGAATCGATTTCACAATGCTGTGAGTAATTATAGCAATTATTCCTTTAAGACCCCCTAAACCCCATACAATGCAAAACTACTTAAAAAAAACAACAACAATAAGAAAAAACTTTGTAAGCCAAAGTTTTAAACAAAAATCTTGCATAGTGTGTTGATGCTGTGTCTCGGCTAAAACTTTCTCACAAAACTTTAGCTCTTTTTTTTTGTTTAAATAACTAGTCGTTTTTGTCTTTGCTAATGGATAATTATCTGTGGCAGTCATCCTGAACCCATTTTGAATTAATGCATTAATCAATAAAAGAAGGGAATACAGCCGTTGGAGGAGTTGAAAATCATAAATTGTGCAAGAATACCTCAGTTTATTTAATGGCATCCTTTATAAAGTAAAAATATTTTTAATAGCAATGCAGTGATAAAGTATTTTAGAAAGAAGAATACAGCAAGAAGTTGTAAAAAACAACAACAATAAATCTACCTACAGAAGTCAAACATTTATCTCAGTTCATCACTGAAAATGACACATTGGACGTTCCTCATATGGTAAAAAAAACGATAAACAAATGAAGATTTTTGAGTAATTGCTCTCCTGACAAAAGCCAAAGTCTTGGGATGGGAGGATGATGATGGTGACAGGTCTATTATGCCAGAGGCAACTGGAGAAGCCAACAATTAAGCAACAAAACTGTCACAGCTTTTTGCAAAATGGCAGATTTCTGACAGAGTGTCACTTTGTCTCTCCTCAAGATGATGTGAAATACACATGTCTGACATCTTGCATCTGTCGAACAACCTATGATATTCTGTACGTGACATGAAACGTAGGAAATATACTGTGGCTRCTGTGTTATGACAGCTGCAGGGCTTGTCTAAAACGGTCAAAACAGAAGACAAAYAATGACAATCATTTGAAAATAAAAGCCTAGCATTCCTTGATGATCACCATTTTTTATTTCATGGTTTGAAACTAAAATAATTTTATGTTGAGAAATGATGGACCTAGTCATTTTTGTCCAACTGTGAAAAGGATTTTGAGACACACCTCAAGTTTCAAGATCTATTAGTGTTGCCACGGCATCTCAGCTTCCAACTCATCAAATTTTAGTAAAATATTTGTAACACAGACTGTCTCATAGACATGACATTTTTACGAGTGCTATAATTGATTAGCTGTTCCAAATGGTGACTTAAATCGAAAGAAACTTGCAACCACACAGCTTTTATAATACAAATGCACAAATCATATTCTCTGATTCATTAATCAAGAATTTCTTATACAGACAGTTTCTCTGGTTTAACCAGAAATGATTCAAAATACATATACATGTACAGGCCTACACAAATGCTTCATTGTAAGTAGACAAAATCTTTTCCACAAGTCATAAAATTAAAAACCTCTGCACTAACCTTTTTTGCACTTGTTTTTCTAGTCAATGTGAAGCAATTGGAGACTTAATAACACTTCTATTTAGAAAAGTGAGGAGCTTACATTGTTTTATTACTATCTTTTTTGTTTTTGTTTAAAACCACAATTAAACATTTAATATCGTTAAAAAACAGTTACATATTCTCAGGTATTAACCGAGTCAATACCAAAATATTCACCAACCTGCACTGAATGTGTGGCAGTCTTTCCCCCTCTAGTGGTCATTTATAGAAATTACAGCTTTGAGTGAAATACAAATTAATCAAATAATCAGTCAAATTTATGAAGGTTAAGTATAAGCA